CAGCAGGAAGAGACCAGTCAACATGTAGACTAGGGAGCTGTTTCCTGTTGCAGACGAACAAGCTTCAGATGCAGGTTGTCTTTAGCCATCTTTAGATGTTGACCAGAATTATATTAAAAGATTCATAGTAACTTGGTATACAAAACTGATCTACAGAAATGGCATCAAGCATAAGAATTTTCAGCCATTGCACTCTGTACTAATACACATGCAGTCTGTTATGATGGAAATAAATGCTAACCTGGAACCATACAAGCCATTTCTTTGAAAGTGTCCTATATCACCAAATTAAGATCAATTAAATGTGGCATTTAACAGCATTTCCTGGTTTTTTGTGGTTTTTTTTTTTACTATGACAGGCTGTGAATTCTGTTGAAGAAAAGCATACATAAGCTAGATATTTGTTATTACTTACTATTTAACAAAGTCAGTATCTCTCAGTAGCCTTGTTTGTCCCATTCCTTATCATTTATACAAATGTTCCTCTCTGAAATACAGAAATCTACTGCCACTTCTCTTTCTTTCCCCACTCTTCTAGGGAGTATTAAAACACTAATTTCTTGCTGACATTTACTGTGCAAACCAAGAAGCCAGTACACTGTCAATACTGAGCTAAACTGAATAAAGTAAGAAACAGCATTTTACCTTGGTGAGCCAACCTTTCACAGTAGGCTTAGCATCACTGTGAGGAACACCAACAGGACTGGTCACTTGCACTCTCAGGATACTCTGTAGGACATGAATCCATTCCTCCAAGATGTTGGGAGAATCTGCTGTCAGGAAATAGGTTCTCTTTTCTGTCATGAGCTGGAAGAAAAAGCAGTATGTAAGTCTGCACACCTGCAATCTTTTCTTCAGCTGCTGAGTTTCATTATCCCATACAGATATTTTTTTTTTGATGGTTCAGGAGGGATTTTTTTGGGTAAAGAAAAAAGGTGTTAACCCCCAAACCCCAAGTGAAAGAATTGAAACTCAGATGAATCACATTCTCATGAGCCGTTTCTGTTGGATCCTGTGGTTTTGTCACCTCTCTCATACTTTGTTGTTTCTCAGTCCTGCTGCTAATTTTTCATTTTAAAGGTGACTACATAAATGGGGATTTTGCTGCCCTCACTTTGTATTGCATTCTGCCTTAAATAGCTTGTGACTTTTTGACAGGAAAGTTGCTATGAATTTAATAGTATTAAGCCTAAACAACTTCAGTTCCATAAGGGCAGATGGTAGTTCACAGGTCAGGCCATGTGCCTTTCAGTCAGAGTATGAGAGAAACTTTACTGCTGCCTTTATAGTGAAGTCTACTAACAATAATGACTCAAAACTGAACCCAATGATGGGCTAACTTCTAACACTTCAGAAGTTGAATTCTAATAGGAATCCAACACTTCAGATCCTCCAGACATGTAAGGTCAGGCTGGAGATCTTGTGAGAGGAGTCTTTCAGAAAGAGGAGATCCTAGGTACTGTCTGGTTTTAATTAGTCTAAGAATCACTTTTCTGCACAGATTTCAAGCTCTCAGTCCTAACTGCAATAAAGGAAAGTGCTATGGTGTAAACCAAAACAAAAATAAAGGAGAATTTCTTTAAATTTCAAAAAGCTGCATTTGGGTTACAAGTTAGCTCTTTCCCCTTTATTAAAATAACTGCCTGGCCTGTGCCAGGAAACACAGGGGCCAGATAAAGTTAGCTCACCTCAACTAAGACATACAGTGCCATTCAACTTGAAATAAATGCTCTCTCATCCAGCCACTGAGTGTGTGGTTATCTGCAGGAGGAAAAAGCAATGCTTACCTGGAATGTTTGAGACCCTTCACCTCTGACAATTTGGCACGAGGAATTCAGCTCCATCTGTCCTTGTGGTTTGCGGATAACGTCACTCTGTGGAAAGAAAAGCAAACAACTTTTTCAGTAGGAAAAAAAATACTCTAAGGCCCATCTGAGTTTACATACAGCATAATATGCATGTGCAGGTCGAAGTCTGCATTCATGAGCTGGAAAGGACAGCTGAAGGTTGCCAGGCTGAATATGAGACAGTGTGATCCCATTGCAATGATAAGCAAAAGTCTCCTCAGTAGCGGGAGACAATATAACAAGGGCAATGACGACAAATACTGTCTTACAAAGTTCAGATTGGACATGGGGGTGGGGGGGAATCAAAACAAAACAAAAAACCCAATCCTTTCTCACTGGAAGGCAATACAACACCAAACAGGTACCCAGAGAGTGGCTGAATTTCCACCATTGGAAGTTTTCAAGATTCAGCCAGACAAAGCCATGGGTGGTTTGATCTACAGCTGGTGACACAGTCCCTCTTCAGTGTGTCAGTTGGACTACAGTCTTCCAGAAGTCCCTTCCAACCAACAGTCTAAATTCTGTATATTTACGAAATTATTTTACATATATATATATACACACATGTATAATTTGCTTGTGAATTTTGATGGATAAACCTAGTATCAGAAATCAAGATGCATTGTGCCCTAAGGTGTATTTTTGTCTTGTCAGAATATGACAACAACTGAAAAAACAAAAAAGTTGAAAAGAAATCTTCTCAATATTCATGACTTGTAAGCAAAGATGTGTATATACATAGAAATACTGTGTAATTATGCAGGTATGGAGGGAATTGCTGTATCCAGAAGAAAAAAGTATGGAAGGTGGATATCCCTAAATATAATTCTCTGTAATGTAGCTAAGTACAGCAGAATAATGAAGGCAAATAATACATGTATTTTATTGTATATACAAGTTGTGAGTGCATACTGCTAGAATTTTTTAAATAACATAACTTTGTTTGAAACAGTTGTGAGTTATAAGAAGTATTTGGAAAGGTTTGAATGCACAAACATGCTCTCAATATTGTTTCATTGATCATTTTAAGACAGCATTTAGCATGAAAGCTCGTTTTCAATTTTACTCTAGTTTTCTAATACCTCCATGTCCATGTGGGAGGATGAAAAATGAAAGAACCCAGCTTTCTTCCCCCTGAAAGTTGTTTTCCTTAGAGTGCCATATACTGACCGATGAGTACGCATCTGCATCCTCCTGGTATTGTAATTTATTTTTCCTTTATTTTCATCTTAAACATGACCAAAGCCTCTTCTGCTTTTCATCATCTGTACAAAGTTAGCCAGTAGGTGTCAAGCTTCTGTCCTTATGAACAACCTTTCATCTCCTGGAAACTGCCACAAGGAGCTTCCCTGCCTAAGCAGAGACCCGTGGTTGAACCTGTGGGCCAGACAAAGCTCTTTGGCAGGACATTTTGGGGGAAGCTTGCCCATGGCTGCCCACTCTGCTGGTGGTATTAATCTGGAACTGGTTCTGCAGACAGCCTTTCCCTTTGCCTCCACACAAGAGTAAATGCATCCTAGTGACTCACCGGAGACTTGTAGTACATGATTTGTCTGTTTCTTAGAACAAACCATCGTCTCTTCCACATCTTCACCTGGCTGCCCATTTTCAGCAAGTAACCTGATTTCTCCATGGGTTCCTGGAAGGCAAAGAGCAAAGGGGAGAGGAGGTTATCTTGCACCTCTCAAAATACAAATGAAAGAGTGCTGAAGTCAAGCTTAGACATTTGCTGCATCTCCATCATTTTCCACTTTACTCTGCCAGATGGGAGTAGCAGCCATCCAAGGTCAGTGCTCTCTGCTCAACTTGGAGAGAGTCCTAAACTATCTGTGTTGCTGTAAATACAACATTGTGGTGTTTTAGTAAAGGGAGCATCTGAAGATCATTTTGCTGATTGTTGGATGCACTGAAAACTTATTTGTCTTCCTACCATAGCAATGATTTTCCAAATAAAAGCGAAGGCTGGCTCTAAGTCATGATTACACTCTTGTTCCTTGTGTGCTTGATCTCTTACATTCAAGAGTACAGAATTTAATGCTGCCTTTGTTTGAGGTTTTTTTTCCTAGGCCAAAATACTCTATACTTTCTCCTTCCTCTGAATCTCCAAACTTGTTTTGTCACAAAAGTGTAAGTTAAAAGTAGAATGCTACTACAGGAAACCAGTATGGGTCATCAGGAAAGAATACAGCAATAGATGCTTATACTTTTATCTAACCATGTAACAGAACTTGCACCTTCTACTGACTCATCCGATAGTGTCTTTTGATACAAACCAGCTGGATCAACAGCCCAGTCTATCACAGCATCACTCTGCAGGGGATAACTCAATATATTCTAATTACACTTTTTCTCTTTCAAGGCGAAGGCTCTGTTTGCATCCTTTCACAACTGTGAGGTAGGAAGACTTACACTGCAGATTCCACCATCAGTGGAATAGGAAGATGTTCGCTGTAGCTTATGCTCTGGCTCTGAATAGTCACCATCCAAGGAGCAGGCATCAGGAGGGATGGCATAGTCACTCTCGGAGCTCAGTGAGGACATAGATACACCTGTTCAAAATAACAAAAGCATTAAAGTCATGGCTAGACAGAAGCATGCACTGAATATTGCACACTCTGAAAAAGTTTGAGTTCACCATTAAGGCTTTTTTGTTCAAGAGCAAAAAATTCAAACTAAAGTAAAGGCTTCCTCACCAGCTATGGGGCTGTGCTTTTGGTGAATCTCCCACCACCAGTCCATGGCAATGCAGAGACATATCAGCCAATGCATCACAACAGAAGTTATGACTACCTGAAATGGGATTCTATTTTATTGACTACCAATTGTAATGAAAATTCCACTCAAGGATCCAGTTTAACCTTCCCAGCAGTCAAGAAAAATTGTCCTAGCCAGGACCCAAATTTCCTGATGCCTCTCAAAGATAGGAAAGATTCGTTTACTGGTCAAGAAATTATCAGCCAGTGACAGAGACATTTTCTTTAATGTGTCAGTAATAGTTTGCTAACAAGAAGTCACAGAAAAGCTACGGATGGCTTCACTGGATATGTGATGAATTTGGGAGATCAATCTCTTCCACAGTCTTAGTTTAGCAATTGCCTGGGAGGAAATCTACCAGTGGTAAAAGGCCATCTAAGAGGCAGGTTTCTATTGAGTAGCTGTTGATGTCTGCACATATTCTGGGAGAAGTCCTTAGTAGCATCACCAAGGCTGAGCATTTGCTTGTCACTGATGATGCTGTTCAAGATATCTTGCCTCACCTGTGAGGACAAAGTTCATGCTGCTCAGTAGCAATACTCCTGCTTTACCTCTCTTCATGGCACGAGGGCTGCCTGGCATGCTAGCTTTCCTGTTCTCCGATCCAGCAGCAGAAGTCCTGAAGCTGGCATGGGAGCCACAGTCATCATCAGAGCCTGAAGACTCATCTAAGAAAGGCACGTTGCTGATCTGTGTGGCTTTCTGGAAAACAGACCTGTATGGTCAGCGTGTGAGGGAACAGTTTTCCCAGGACAATCCCTGCTCAATGAGGAGACAGAGCAATCATTGCAGGCCCTTCATTTTCACACTGCCTTGCCCACTACTGTCCCAGGGCTCCTCATTTCCTCCCTTTCTAGTCTGATAACTTCCAAGCTGGACTCTCTAGCCTGACTTGTTTGGGTCTCCTCTGGTTACACACTCCTACTGTTCCACAAGCCTTGTGCTTCCCCATTAGGTCTCAAGAGCCCTCTCCCATTTCATTCTCTAGGCTACACCCACTATCACCCCTACGTTTCTACAACCTCATAGTGCACACTGCAGCTTCCTGGACCAAAACTTGCTGCAATGTTCTGTATTCCTAAATACATTTATCATCTGCTACTCCTTCTGCATTCTTTTGGTGTCCAGTACTTCCTGGTATTCTCTAATTTTCTTTCCTTCACTGCACAGCTTCATCCCGTTCTCTCTAAAATTACTGGCAGCCCTGGACCATGCTTTTCATACGAAGAAAAGTGAAGTAACTCCTTACCCCCTTCAGCGTAGTGTAGACTGGCACTGTGACATTTCTGTAGATGAGACAGGTAAATGGCCCAGAAGTTGAACGTGAAAAATTGGAAACTGGGAAAAATCAGAGAGACAGCAAGAAAAAAAATAATACAAACTGGTGAAAAGGAGGAGGTTTTAATGGAGAGGTACATGTATGTGTGTAAGAACTTATGTAGCCTCTTGGAACATCAAATAATGGAGGACTGCCATCCTGGACAGTTTGGCCTCAGAAAGACCAGGGGATGTGTTATTAATTACATACAACTCCCAAAGACAGCTGCAACACTCCCTCCATTTAGCCTGTAAAACATCTCATCCACCCTGTGCTCCCCCTGGTACAATGGCAATCCAGTGCACCATGTCGAAACAGATAAAAGCCATAACAGAGAAAGGCGATGGCGAATCGCAAGACTAAAAGCAGGTCACAGACATGCAGAGGCAGGACAGTGTCAGTGAAAGTGATGAAGGAGATAATGGAGTCCCTGAAGATGTCACTGAATGTAGGGGCTCAAACACTCCAACACCAACCATCCCTGAGATCAGATATATCCTCCTCTCTTCCTTTCTTTACTGTGGCTATCTGCAAAATCAAATTTACTTTGAAAACAGGCAAGGAAATTAAGAAATGTGAACAGCCAGAAGCTCAGGTACCACACAGTCACTGTAAACTCCCTCTAAGGATGGATCTTGTCTAGAACTTACAGCAGCTGGAAGTATCATTCACCATGGCCACTTCAGACAACCTCATGCCAGACTTGGCCACAGCATAGATTCGACTCTCCTGGAACAATAATACCATGAACAGCAATGGTCAGACAAAAACATGATTCCTGCAAAAAGAAACGCTCGTGTCACAGAATCATTATCACAATCACACCTCTGGGCAGGAAGGAGGGACTCTCTAAGAAAGATTGCTCTGTTCCACCAGATGTTGGGTGAATGACCATTAGTGGAAACGCGCATCTGTGTGCGATTCCCTGAATCACAACAGACTTTGCTTATAAATGCTACAGAGATGATATCCACAGATTGGAACACCTACATGCAATTATCAATAAATGACTATATTACAGCTTGGAAAAAGCTATTTTTTTTCCACTTTATGAACAATGTATTAAAATTAATCAAGAACAGCCCTAAAACAGGACAATTTATCAAGTCACCACCTGCAAAGGATTCCTATTCTCTTATAAGGGAATGAAAGAAATGCCTGGAATGATCTTGATAAACCCATGTCTCAGTTATAACAACACATGGAGCTTTCAGTTCAAAAGGATCTCCAAGTGTTTCACAAATTGATAAAAATTCCAAGGGGGGGAACCCAAACCTGTAACTAAATGCAGTGTTATGACTAAGCCATCCACCAGTCTAAAATGGATAAAAATCAAAGGTAGCAATCCTCTTGCTGCTCCTTAAAGCATACAACCAATCACTATCAGATAACACACATAATACAAATACATTAAAGTACTGCAAAGTCAAGTACACCAAAAAAAGAAATGACAGAATTAGCATTTTCTGTATGTGTATGCATTGCAACTTAGTCTCTAATGAAATATGTGCATTTTTTTCCCCCAGACGCTTCTTATTCAGGGCACATAATGGACATTTCTTACTGATTAAGCTGCTACTTAATATCCTACTCATGCTTTAGTGTTTGATATACTTAAATTTGCCCTACCTGGATACACTTACTTGACTCCGGTCTGAAGACAAAATAATGGATTTTTGCTTTGGCGTTCCTGACTATAACACTGCAATGCTTCATAAACATTAATAAAAAAAAATTACAAAAAACCCTGGGAGGAACATTGGTGGGTCCTATGGCTATTTTCCAGAAGAGGAACTCCGGCATAGGTTCTATGAAGTATCCTTTGGACTACCTATTTCAAGATGTCCAAGACCTGACTTTTTGAGAATTTAGCATCATATAACACTGTTTGTAATAAAAACAACTGAATACAGTTGCAGCAGAGAAGTTCTCAGCACTTCTGTAATCAAATTTGCTCACCAAACTCAAGTTAGACATTCAGAAGGTGTGTGTAGAGATGATTATCACCTGTGAAATATTTAGCTAAAGGGACTAGAAGAACCTTACATGAGAACTCTAGATCAGATAAAAGAATAGAAGCCAATCTGAGATGTGTTTCCCTTCTTCCAAAAGAGTACACTGTTCATGTCATCTTTCTGACTTCTGCAGCAAAAAAGCCCAGACATCTTGAAAACTGCAATTTCTTTTACTACACTGTCCACCTTCATCCCCAGCACAGTTCCATATTATGGACTGAAAGAAGAGAGATTCCTTGGGAAAAACAGCTGTGATTATACTGGGGTTTAAATTGGTATCATAAAGGGCACAGCCAAAGATCACAAATAATGTTAAGTTTTCATAGAAAAAAAATCTAAAACATGAGGATTAACAAAGAGTGCTTGATTTTGCACCTTCAACAAACCATTTGTTTGCCTAAGATTTTAAAAAAGCAAATTGAAAATAATGGAATTATCTCTTTTGATAGTATCTTGATTTCCACCAAGTTTATCAGTTAGATTGACATATTAGCAAATAATCCAACCATCTGAACTAACAAGTAACTGGAAGTGATAATAACAGACTTCTCGCTCACGTGAAGTAAGCAATAGGACATGTATATTCACTTTACCAAAGGTTTTCACAAAATTTTCCTGATAGCGGAAGTATATCATGAGGGAGGAATGCTGAGATCTAATCCATGTATCTATTCACAGCTTCTTCTGACCCTGAAACTATCTAGTCTGATCCATTCGTTCGCATTTACGACTCACTTCTATCTTAAACACATGACTACAGAACTAAGGATTAACTTTTGATGACCCATAGGGATAAAACACAATGCAGCATCTCTTAACTTTCATTTTTATTCCTATGTTTCTTGAGTAGTATTTTCTTCTATGGATTTTTTTTTTCTTATAAAGAGAAAAGAACAAAAAAATTGTCAGTGGAACCAGCATGCGCCATGATCTGGAACTGTCAAGACTAGGTGGTTTAGAAACGTGACTGATGTGCACAGGAAACAATTGCTTGAGACTAAGAGCTGTTGTAGCCTAACTCAAAGGCTACAACAGTACTCAAAGATAAGCAGCACTTCTCAGACTGTTGTCCTTTCATTTCTTACCCATGATGGGAATCTGTGCAGCGGTGGCGTGGGAGGTTTGCTTTCTGGGTTAAGTGTGCCAGCCTCAGAACTCACAGCTTCTTTTTGCCCTGAAGATAAGTGGTTGATTTCCTCACATGGTCCAGCTTCTTCCCTCACCGGGCCGCGTTCTGTCTCCATCTTCTCCACTAACCCATCATCATCAATGTCTGTCTCCTTCACTTGCCCATGGCAGACTGGAGAGTCTGATATAGGCTGGAAGGTGCTAGCTTCTAAGTTCATTACACGATGGAAAGAATTAGCCCCTGGCTGTGGTTGGCTGTAATGTCTCTTGGCTAGTTGGATACTGTCTCTTGGTGTATTGGGAGTTCGTATTTTTGGAAAGGTCATACTACTGCCAAGACCACATTCCCTCCCTGGACAGAAGGAATGTGCTGTAACAGCTGATGTTGACACAACCAGGGGTGGCTCAGCAGTTTGGAGACGGCCCTCAAGCATGTTCATTATTTCTCCTGAGGAAGAGGAGTCCAGCCGGTGGGAGCGGAACCTGGCACTCAGATCATCAGAGAAGCGGGTGCTGTCCAAAGCCACTTGTTGCAAGGTGCTCACAGTGCTATGGTTTCCTTCCAAAGACGACTGAAAAGTCAAAGCCTCAAGGATTCTTGTGGCCTCAGCTGGAGGATCCAGTGACGTGGGATGAGAGCACCCTAACCTGTGTTCAGAACTTATGGCTGGGAATACATCTTTCTCTGTGGAGAGATTCCAGCTTGATGGGTCAGACACAAGGTTCAGCGTGCTCTGCGAAAGCAGAGATTCATCCTCTCCATCCTCAGTAAAGGTGTCATTGGCAACAACTATGTTTGCTGTAGAGATGACATGTTTGGTAGGTCCTGTCTGACACACCTGTCTGAAGCCAGGTGCAAGGAGCACAGATTTTTGGTTTATCTTCTCAGTAAAAGAGGCCTCTGATGCTCTGGGCTTCAGAGAATTACAGCTCCGAAGAGATTCAAAGGGAGGAATGCTGGTCATATCTACAACGGAGGAGAACATATGGTTAGGGCATTCAAATGTTTTACTGTTTAAATTGTTACTTGCTAGTACAAGTTGTTCATGTCAGTTTTATTTCAATAGCACCCTGGCCTGGTTAGGACAATACAGAATGGAAAGGAGATGGCGGGGCACAGCTATAACAGAAGTGCTTATGTATTTATAGCTGGGAATAGTACAGAAGAGACAAATAGGAAATGATTAATTGCTCTTTCTTACAAAAGTGGAATTAAGGGGTGTCTAATGAAATTATCACGCAGTGCATTTGAAATTTACAGAAGGAAGGTTTGGGGTTTTTTTCAGACAAAAAAGGAAATAGAATGCTGTGGTATCTAAAAGATAGGCCAGAAAAAATAATTTATCAGTGGTACAAATAACAGTTTAGATAGAAGTTCTCACCTAGAAACTTCCTAAAACACTGACAGCAAAAGCTGGATGGGCACATGGAGAGAAGGACAGCTCTACTTGCAATATTTTCTACACTCTTTCCTGAAACATCCACAGCCAACCAGGAAACACAACACTGGCCTAGGCAAGCTTTCAAGTCTAACTCAATATAGCAGTTTTTACTCTTACCTATACATGATTATGTCTCTTCTTTTAAAACAGTCATGAGAAGGAAGTGCACCTATCCACACAATGCTTTGTCAAAAACCATCGAAGTGGCCAGAACGCTGCTTAGTGTAGCTTTTGACTTTTGATTTAAACCATCACATAAGCTGGTATGCTTCCTCCCATTCCCAGGGGCTAGATGAGGCTTCCAGCATATGTATGGAGGCCTTCATAACCATCACACCAACCAGTGAAGTTACTCCCTTTTCAAGAATTTCCCTAGAGCTTGTTGCTATCCTTTTGTACTATATGACCCAAGCAGTGCTTTTTATCAACAACTTTTATAACACTTACATGTTTTTGCTGTAAAAACTTCTTTTTCTTTATTTTTTCTCTGCCCCTTCAGTTGCTATATTACAAGCTGATGTAAAAGATAGATCCTAGATTGCCTCCATTGTCTTTTGTCTAGTACCTATCCTCCATAATTCTTCTACTTTCTTCCTTTCTATAATTACTAGATTTAAAGACTATATCTCTGTTCTACAGGTTCTGTTGAATAGCAGTGTTAGGATATGAGAAGGTATGAGAAAGTGTGGATAAAACTTGGAGTGGCAGAGATTGTTACTTCACTTTATAGTTTTGATTGACCTTGGCATTTATATATTGCCTGACTGAAAAGAACCAAGATGCTTTGGAAATTGCAGAAACATGGGTGAGAATGACTCTGCACAGCTGTGGCTGAAAATGCTGCCTGAACATAAAACTCTACAGGCACTGCTTAATCACTAATGCTTTTTACAAGGAAGTAGAAACAAACCGAAGACACAAAGTAACAGAGGGAAGGGCAAACAGCAGAATAAATCACTGCTGATTGTGGAGAGGATGAAACCAGCTCTTGCAAACACAGCTCAGAAAAAGACAACCATGAGAGTCTGACTTTGGCACTTGAGTCCCAAGGAACTGAATGCTAACAAAGCTATTCCTAACGCATAACACCGGCACAGACAAATCCTGGCACACATTTTCCCCTGCCCAAAGTAAATCATTAGTGTAGACTGAAAAGAGGCCATTCATTTTAAATATTATTGGTATTTTTGCAGCTTCCTAAAGGTGACAGAACATGAAGCAGAGAAAGCTGCTACTATTAGCATGTCATGCAAAAAGAGATTTATGTCTCTGCAGAGGCCTCTGAATTCAGCCTGGCACAGTGAGACTAGCGGGGGACAAGAGGAGCGGGGCAGAGCTGTTTACTGCCCAGGGAGTTGGGATCCAGGGAACACTTAATACCAGATTATTAACGCAGCTTACCAGCCATTCTCTTTTTGTAAACAGCCAGAGCCAGAGGGGATGAGAAAACCCCAGTCATAAAGCATGCAGCTGGGAATGTGGTGGGATTTAGAAGGAATTTTGCCCTATTCCCTTGCTGTGGAGTATGCCAGAAAGACTTCTGCAGGAAAGAAATGCCCCTCGCCTGCATACTCAGCAAAGTTCTGGAAACTAGCTCATCTTACTGTGAACAAACCAAGCTCATAAAAAAACCTCTAAAACAAACAAACAAACAAAACCCCCAAAAAACCCAACCCCAACAACAAAAAAAACCCAGGAAGAAAATAGTTAAAAGAGAATTTCCTCTTCAAAATGTGTTGTGATGAAAGGTGCTGATTTCAAGCCCTGGAGACCAAAGTTCTCCCTCTATCCACCAAAAAACAAGAACCACAAAATACAAGCACTGTAAGCAGGTTTCTCCAACCCAACCTGATCGCACAGAGGAACCCGGCTTCTAAAGGCAGACCAGACAGCTGCTGCCTTGGCCCGTTCAGTGCTCAGCTACCCAACTCACGTGCCAGCAGAGGTTCTGTGGGGATAAGGGTAATTCACATGTGGAAGTAAAGTGAAATACCTCAGGGACTTCTACCCTGCACCACTTAAGTGAATGGAGAGATTTGCCATGTATTTCAATGAGTGTTTCTAGTTCAGGAGCTCAGTGGCTTATTTTAATGGCAAAAGCAGACTCTGAAAAAAAGGGGTCTGTGTTCAATTGCTGGTGGGAAACCAATTAAGAGTTTTTAAGGCAGGTAAGCAATGTGATTTCCATCTGCAAAATTGATCCACTGAGGAACAGAGCAATTCTACTGCTTGCTGGCACAAATGCTAATTTCTGACAAAGTTAAGAATACAACCCAGGAATGCTGACTTCCACTCTTGTGGTGGTTACTAGGCTACAATGCCAGGTGAACACATTTACCTTGCAATGTATCCTGAAGGGCTTCAATTTGCTCCGTCAGCCTCTGATTACAGTTTTTCAGGTGGTAATTTTCTAGCTCAAGCTATGAAACAACAATAATAAAAACTGAAAAATAATGCAAAACTGTGTGTGTGTGTGTTCCACTATACAGAACATGTCTTCATTTTTATTACATTGAAGTGTCTGAACAGGAAAAAAGGATGGATGAGTCTACCAGTACCTTGAAATCCTTCTCCTCAGCAGCTCCACTGAACAACCCACTTAAACATTTTGCTGTGCTTTCTCAAATAGCCTCTGTATATACTATTCACACTTTTCAAACCGGTCTTAATTTCCTTCCCTGCTATTGCTTATCATTTATTCCTGTTCCAGAAATAACTGTCATGAAGGAGACAATCAAAAAACTATTACCCAGGAGGAGCATTTTTCACCTCTCACCACAAATTCCCTTTCTGGCATAAACTGGGAAATCTATGGCTTTAACTTGGAATAAAAGGGAAAGACCAGATAGCCCCACTCCTAGTTGTAAACTATTACTGCATCTTTAAAACTGTGTGCTGACCCATTGCTATCTCTCAGTTTTTCTAGAGGGTATTGAATTAGGCCCAGACAGAGGCATGAGTCCACAGGATGGATGGGAGGAAGAGGTTAGACATGAGAAAATGCTGGGCAGTAGGAAAACAGCATTAGTCAGAGATGGCAAATTAAGGAAGAGCAAAGGACATGTGTTTGTGTTAAAGCTGTTTTCTCAGAAAAAGAGACAGAAACTGGACCCAGAGAAAAAAGGGAGAGGCAGAGGAAAGCTAGGTGAAAGCCACTTGTGACTAGTAAATCTTCTTCAGAGACTGCTTTCAGGCATTACTGACTTCAGTCATTTAAGTTTGCCTAAAGCTGTAAGTAGCCCTCAGCAAGAGGGATGACCGTAGCTATGCAACTGGGTATGTGCTGGGCCAAACAAGCAGAAAGCCTCTGTGGCAGATCAACTGTCCTCAGACTATTGTCCCTACAGTGCAGCCACTGTATCTAGTCATAGGCCTTGAAACCTGGCAGCAAGCGAAAGACTCACCTCTCTCAGCTTAAATGTTACCCACTCTTTTATCTTGGCAGCTTTCTCTTGAACAATTTTTGCTTCCTCAGTCCTCAACTGTTTCTGTGCCAAAAAAAAAATAAATTAGATGCATTAGGAGAGTATAGCTAACTGTTCTCAGAAAGTTACTGCATCAGGAGTGACTTAGACATTGAAGGTCCCATTCCAGACATAAGATTTAAGACTGCTATTTGGATACCATTATTTAGCTGGCCTCTGAAAAATCAAGCTCTAAGTTGTCTTACATGGTCCCTGGAGTCAAATTTGGAGGGTTGTTTCAAGAGTTTGTTGTGGAATAGCAAAATCCAGCTCAGGTATTGATTGCCCACCTATCGGTTTCTTTTGAGTACAATCTGCAACTTTTCCTGTTTTAGATGGTTTTGCAGCATTGCTGTTTGCTGTTGAGCATCTATAGCATTCCCTCAGCCTACACACACACACATATTATTGGCTGAAGTTAATAAGAATTAAGCAGTGCCAATAAGTGATTTATAAAACAGTGTAATTCTTCAAGCAAAAGGGATTCAATTGCCGCAAGTACAAGTATAGGGTATAGACTTTAAAGATGCATGAGATGGAAACTAATACCAACAATGTATTTAACACACACACACACTCTACTCTCATCAAGAAAGTAAATTAAAAAAGAAACCCAAACAAAAACACAAACAAGCAGACTCAGGGTAAAAAAGCTCCAGAACTCAACTTTGAAACACTAAGACCTACTATGAGGTTTTGAGATGGTGTAAGTGGTTGTATGTCTACATATCCATTAAAACAGGTTCTAGTACACACAAAGGTGCTATGGGAATACTGTCGATTTGCACAATTAACATTTTTCCCCAAGTATCTGCTTGGGCAATATTGCTACAACATCATTTTTGCAGCTGTGTTCTCTCAGCCACATTTTTTTTTCTTTTTCTGGCAATTTCCTTTGAAAGATGCTGGACTGATATGATCACCTGAAGCCTTCTGTTCATCTCCTGTGTGGCTTCATCAGAAGCAATATCACTGAAAGGTCTCCTATCTACATAATGATTTAAACAACTACAAGGAGAAATCAGTTCCAGGAGCAAGGAAGGGGAATATACTCTGTATGGCACATTCAGCCCTGGTTTCTCTAATTAACTGGACAAAAGTAATACATTCTGGTAGCAGTTGATGGTTTCCCTGCTAGATTTTTTTTTTGTGTGATGTGAACAAATACAATTAATTATAATAATAAAAACATCAGTGCTTCATCCTCATTCCCTTTTTAAATTTTTCATACTGAAGAGTAAGTTCACTTAATGAATACTATATAAATACACAGTAGACTGCAGGAAATTCCCCACATCTTCACATCGCTTTTAATCACCACATGCTATTCATCACCACAACTGCACATTTAAAAGCTCTTATTGAAATACGTTTGCTGACTTTAAAACAGACCTTGGCAACGTTATGGGTAGCAGTAACATTTATAGTTGAGCATAATGAAATAAAAGTAATCAAATCTGATGCTTCAAGAGGAGGATTTAAACAGTTTTTCTACCTGAATATGGCTCTGTGTGTTCCTAGTCATCAGGTAACAGCCTTTGCTGGAGTCTGAATATTAAACATGCCTACTGGTCTGAAATGCTCTGGCACATATAGTGGATCTTACCATAGTCCTCTGAATATCCATCACGTGTATTGCCTTTGAATCCCTAATGACCTGGACTTGTCTCAGATCAGGGACCAAGAGGTAAAAGATTCAGAATATTGTTATGCTACACGGTCAAGTGCAATGCCAAGATTTTATTTATGGTCCTAAAGTAGAATAGTGACATGACAACATCATTGTCACAGAGCTTAGTAAGCCTTGCCTCTAGGTAGAGCCAATTCACTCAGATCCAGCACCTGTAGATGCAGTTATTGTGCTTTAAGATCCAGAAGCAGTTAGATTCTTTGCATCCCATGCTATTGTGTGGTCCAGACATGACCTCAGTGTTCTCTTATTAATGCTCTGAACTCCACAGCTCTCCTCATCCCAATGAAAACCAACAGGATGCCTTACAGGGACCCTCAGTGACCTTCCAGCGCTGCCACTGTTGCATCGCATTCTGAAACTAAACCAGTGACCCTGATAAAGAGTGTTTCTCATCTGAAAATGTCAAGCTTTGGCTTTCATTTCTAGAATCTCATTTTGCCTCTTGTTGCTAGAATAAAGAGATTTCTACTAACAGAACATTTTTCCCACTTGTGTATGTTGATTTTAATCAAATCACACCTCGCATTTTGGGGTAAATCAGAATTTCTTCCATCTTTGATTGCAAGAGCTGCTTCCAGACCTTGATCACTACTGTAGCTTCTTCCGAACACCTTATTTCTCTTCCAAAATGCAGAAACGTCATCTACATTCTGCCTGAGCAAGCTGGCCTAGGGAAGTGACCTGAAACCCAGAGTATTACAAGGACTGATGCCTGACCTCCACACTATACTTGGTCTGAGTAAGGTCAGACAGCTTACCAATCTATTTTGCCCTTGAAATAGGTGACAATTAGTTAAATGCAAAGTGTACCTCAAATGACATGGGATTTTACACAAAAAATACTTTGAGCTATTTCCATTAAGAAGTAATGTGCTTAGCAACATATAAGAATACCTCATTCCTCATATTATAAAGAGCAAGGCCTTTACTAAAGCCAAAATACAAGCCCTGCTGTCCTTCCTTCCACTAACTGAGAATGGAGGAGACTAAGAACTATCCACACTGGGAAACAGCTGCTCTTTTATAATGAGGACATCTGACAAGATATGAACTATGCTAAAGGATTGCTGAAGAGCACATGCCAAGTCAGAGATGGACTACATGATGATTTTGCAGAGCAATCTACATGCTAGGAAGTCAGAGAAATACTGTGACCAGACTAGCATTACAATTCAGGGTCTCAACACCGACTGAACATTAACATAAGGAAGTACTTTAAGAACATTGACCAAACTCCTACAGTTAAGCGACAAGGGCTACTGAGGCTGAACGGATGTTTTTGTCTGAAAAGAGAAAGGAAGGAGAGGATCTTGCACTGAGCATGGCATCATTTTACAGCTGATCTGAAAGCAACAGAGAGGCTAATATGTGATGAAGACATAATCCATATCTTTGAAACACACATTACAGAATCCCTCCAACTCATGAAAGCTACAGGTCTCCCTGTAGATGATATCTTTACCTGTTTTGCTAGCTGTGTCTCCAATCTGTTGATCAGATCTTGCTTTCCTTTCACTGTACCCATCAGCTCTTGATATTTCCTGTGCAGAGTGCTGTCTGATTCACCAGTCTTCACATTGGCTAGTTTTACCTTCTCTTCCATAACTCTGACCTGTAATGACAATCAGAGGGATTGTCAACCAAAACAATGCAAACGAAGGAGCTGCTTGTTTAGTGGTAAGACCCTAACTGAGAGTATTCATATTTCTAAAGTCAGGAAAAGAAGAAAAACAAACCCAAAACAACCCTTCAAGTCACACTTAGTTTATATCCACATATGTGAAAAGAACATTGTCCATTCATTTGTAATACTAAAGCAGTAACAGATAAACACATTGTGGATTATGACATATTTGCACACTATTGGTCAAAGAGACCATACATGTAGGCACTATAGCCTACATAGACGTATGGGCAAGGTACACCGCGTTTTCCTCCTTTGCAATACCATGGTCAGCTTTTTACCCCATTCACTACCAAGGTACACACCACAAAACCCTGGCCATTTGTTTCAGATCAAGATTTCTATAGGGCAATGTACTATGGAGTTCCTTCCTCCTCCTATCGCCAGCTTAGACAATGTTTTGCCAACTTCTGGCTTTCTGACAAGTGTTTTCTCCAGACCTGCTAAGCAGTTAGCATGTTAGAGATTTCAGAAGCTTTGCCTATCTTTGAGCTCCTGCCAGTGCCAACACTTGTTCATCTCAGCAGGAGAAGCACCAACGTAGTAATGCTCCTTCACTACAGGCAAAGTTTCAATGTACTAAAATCTAGCTGCTGATCAGGTCAGGTTTTTAGCCTTTCAGGTTTTTAGCTAGTTTTTAAAATCTCTTTGCTTTCTTTAAAACCTATGTCTCTTGATATGCCAGTCTGTTTTATTATTACCTCATCCTTTTGCAGTGGATCATAAGACTTCATTTCTAAAAGTGAATGGAATTCCTCCAACTTAACGCAAACCTGCTAATTGCAGCACTTAATGATGGGAAAATGTCTGGTTCTAACACATCCCAGAAAGGCTAAATCTGCAAAGAAACCAACTCCAGATGCCATTAATTTGGCATGAGTTTGGAACCAGGAAGGCAGAATGCAGGTAGTGATCTGAGCACTTCACAGAGTCTGTGCAAGAGAGTTACTCACGCTCTGTTGAGCGGCCTACACTCCATACTTGCAGAAGCTGTGTTTTGTCCTCCTGTCTGCTTGCATTAGGCAGAGAAGCAAACTGCCTCTTCCTCATACTGAATCAGAAAGGTAGACACCCAACATCTGAGCCAGAAAACTAAGCCTGCTGAGTCAGATGTGTTTTCATTAGAGTTTAGGGTGATTATAGTAAAAAGAAATGGCCCCTCCTTTCTGTCTGATGCCTAAATGCTGACTCTGTACTAGAGGCTCAGAGAGGGGACTGCAAACATGTGATTTCCTTAATTGAGGTTGGCAGCTACAGGGAGCCCATTGAATTAACAAATCCAACCCCCCAGACTCCTGGAGAGAAAGATAACAAGGGATTTTACACTTGATGTGGAGCCCTCTCATTTGTCAGCTGCTTCTCATTCATGGTGAATATACTTGTTAGCGGAAGGGAATGGTCCTATTCCTTATGCTGTTACTCCTTCAGGCTGTCAGGCAGCAATGAAGTATTTCTCTAGGAAAACTTATCTCTGGATGTGGATAAGGTTGCTGCAAAGACAGACCCTACAACTTAGAGGGTTGCTAGTCTTTAGGACCTGCCAACACATGGCTGCAAACTGCCAGTGGCAGGTGAGTGATGGCAACCCTCATTTCTGCTCGTAGCAGGTGAGTGAAGGCAACCTTCATTTCTCCTATACCTTCCCAGCTAAGTTCTCCCTTTCTTGCCCATTCTCTGGCCTGGATTTGACTTGTTCTCCATTTTTGTCCTTGCTGTCATTCCTTCTTACCATATCACAGACACTCTACTCCTATCATTGAGGTGTCTGCTAGTATGAAACTTCCTCCATTGGCCTGTGGCAATAACTATATTTCCTGCTGATACTGTCACAGAGACAATGTTAGCTTTGCCTGTCTTGGTTGGACGTGAACTTTTCAATACCAGTCTCAAGAGCAACACTTGTTCTTGGTTGGCAATTGCTGATTTGGCATAGAGGTCAACTGCATGGTGACTAGACCTGGCATCTTTCCTATATTTAAGCTGGTAAGAAAAAAATCTTGACATCAATGTCAAACTGGTATGGAATAGTATGTTCTGCAGACAGAATACCTTACCAGGTGCTTCAGGTTCTTGGTTCCTAGACAATATATTTCCCAAGGCTTATAACACTGTGTATTCAGTCCTTCACTGGACTGGACTTCCTGGCCATCTTGCACAGGTCTTAGTTCTGTGCTTTAATCTCTGACTTGATGCTCAGTCCTGCAGCTCTTATCCAGCTGGAGAGAGCTGGTTCACTTCAAACCTTCCCTTCAGCAGTGGTCTGCAGTGATGCAGGAGGTCAGACCATCTAGCCCTTCCTGGCTGCTTTGTTTTTACAATATTCCTTCTAGTCCAGACTGTACAACAGTCCATTATTCTTCATGCCCTGTTCACAAGCTAGCTTAGACAATATGTCTAACTTTCAGATGGTTACAGTAATATGCAATGAATCCAGCTCTTACTGCTTTTCTCCATGGGCTCCTGAGCCAGAGCAGTGATGACTAAAAAGAAAGTCCAAAACAATTGAAAGGTTTTGCAGACACACCCTTACTTCTTTCACAGAACCTCCTCTACTTGCAGGCAAGTCCTTACCAGTACTCTTAAGTATTTGTTTTCTGAGGACCTCCCAGGCAGCTCTATCTCTGCACTTTAATCCTGAGGTACGACATCCCCTTCCTTTTCCATAACCAAGCATGCCTATCATGGATCAGGAGGTAAAGGCTGTGAAGCTGAGAGCCAGATATAATGTGCTGGTTTTCACTTAGGATTAAACCTATTTAGGCACCTATTCATAGCTCAGGCTCAAAGACTGGGAAGTAGACCAGAAAATCCATGCACCACTGTAAATCAGTGTTTCCCTAGCAGAGCACAGCACTGCAGAGTGCTGTCTGTATGCTAGACTGGAGGGAATTCAAAGTTACTGGTAAGAGGACTTGTACCAGAGCAACCATAACAGAATCTCTTACCTGTTTCTCTGCATCCTCAGCTCTTTGCTCTGCTTCTATCACTCTCTGTTCCAATTCCTGCATCTTCAGAGCCAGAAGAGAAGGTAAGGAGAGGGGGAAAGGAAGAAAGAAAAGAAATTAATATCACCTGGAAATTCATCTGTTTTACTTGGGAATCTTCCATTTCTTGTGCATGTCTACAGATCTTTGGCATCTTTTGGGTTAACTGGACAGCTTTGACCGG